AAATACTGCTGTAAATAATTCACCATCAGAAATGTTAAACACATTTGGACATTAATGAAATATTGATAACGTTGAGGCAGATTTCCCCTTTAAATATCGGAGCTCAGAAGTCAACACAGTTCAAAGGATAAAATAGGCAACATTTCCTAGGAGAGCAGCCTAGCCAAGGGACTAGGAAAAGAGGATTAGTACATGGAGAACAAGTTATTTATCCCTTTAAGTGTTGTGACAATTCATGCAGTTTATGGGAAACAGTGAAAAGTTGCATGAGCAATTGTATTAGGGTTTTTTGTGTGTAGGGGATCACAAAAGTGTTTAAAGTGCTTTTCTATCTTTTATTTTCCTAAATATAGGCACTAGTTCCACTTTAATGCAGCCAAATGCAACCTCAACACTCACCAGTGACCAGAGGGTTAATCGGGACATTTCTGTCTACACTCACAAGAGTGCCATTAAAACAGAGTTACTGTACCGGATTACATTATACTGACATTATACTGTGCAGGTGTTGCTGTTATTGTATCCACCCTTTCCCTTCCACATGCTGCCGTTTAGGCCGTGCGCCCTCGCGGCTGACGTGGTTGCGCACGAAACTATGAGCGAAGTTATGAAGCATTAAAGCTGCAGCACCCTTCACACACATTTATTCCTCCAGGTAAAGGGGGGAGGGATCGGGATGGGGGTGTTGGAGGGAGGGCTCTTTGCTCCTGGTCGAGCCTGACAGTTTCGCACTATTGGCTGACAGCAGGGGGAACTCTTACCTGTACCTGCGGGAAGGAGTGCCATTCGTCATCGTCCGACTCCGAATCAGGATCGACCTTTTCTTCCTCCGGCAGCCCAAAGAAGTAGAAGTCGGCCAAGACGGCTGGAAAGTGAAGCAACGACTGCACCAGGACTCCGAGCATGGAGCCTATCACGTCGTGGAGCGAGGAGAAAGTCAGCGAGTGGCTCCTAGGTGAGGAACTTATTGCGTGGGGGGGTTTCTCACGCCTTGATCGTCTCACAGGTACTTTGGCTCGGACGGGAAGGTCAGAAATAGAAGCGCCACATAAATCCTCTTGGAAGTGAAAGGTGGAGGTGGAATGAGGAAGTGGCCTGTGCTGAGAGAGGAGCCACAACAGTCTTGTTCTTATCACTGTCAACAGCTGAAGTAGAAACGTCCAAACTGCGTTAATGGCTGTCTGTCCTCGAGAATATACTGTTTACTACACTTAAGTGCATGGATTCATTCTCTCGTATGCTGTTTGTTAAATGTAGGCTATTACTATTACCAGTACTAGAATATAGGCAGCAGCACAGGTGAGCCACTAGCAGTGCTTGAACGCAACTAAGTACATTTACTCAACTTAAGTATAGTTTTGAGGTACTAGTATTTATTTTATGCTATACTTATACTCCTACTTTATATTTCAGAGAGAAATAGTGTACTTTTTATCCATAACATTTTCTCAACAACTATAATTACTAGGTCATTTGCAGATTTTATCTAAAAAATACACAGTGTATAAAATAAAAGTTAAATTTAAAGTACCCAGCAGTATATGAAATAATACATACTGTACCACTTATATATTAACACATCAATAATGATATATGATATATAATAATATAACACTGAATGCAGGATTTGTACTGTAAAAGATGTATTTGTATAGTAAAGTATTGTTATTTTTACTCAGTAAGTGATGAAGTAAGTAAGTGATTTGAACATTTCTTCCACCCAGGCTATAACATGTAATAACACATTTAAGATGGTGTATTAAGCCCAGCTTTTATTATGAAGGGGTTTTAGTTACATTACTTCAAACTTATTCATATCATAATATAATCATCATCAAAAATTATTTGTTTCCCAGACACTTTTTTCAGACCTGATCGCCATGCATGTAGTGTCTTCATGCTTCATGTTTGCAGCCCTATTGATCCTCTCCCTCTGTTAGTCCGTACTCCCTCTGCATGTCTCTGCCTGTACATGCATGTGACTATATGACTGTGGGGTTTCCATTTATACTTGTGCGCTGCCTGTGGTTAAATCCGAAGTGTATGTGCTTTTGTTGCCAGGTCTGGAGGACCCCCTGCATCAGTACCCGGTCTCGGAGTGGCATTTGTCGGGTCTGGATCTGCTCCAGTTGACCTCTCAGGACCTGGAAAAGTTGGGAGTGCATAAGATCGGACACCAGGAGCTCATACTGGAGGCTGTGGAGAAACTCTGCTCTCTGGTGAGGGAGGAAGCAGAATCATGTGTGTTTGTGTACAGTGTCCATAGCAGTGCTCTGTGTATCCAAGGCTGTGTACGGTGTGTGTGTGTGTGTGTGTGTGTGTGTGTGTGTGTGTGTGTGTGTGTGTGTGTGTGTGTGTGTGTGTGTGTGTGTGTGTGTGTGGACGACTGTGCTCTGGGTATTTACTGAGCAGTCATCTTCTTGTCTTGCTGTATTGTAGTGTGTATGTTCTGATATTAGATTTTTTTCCACCATCACACTGTTTTTAGATCCTGCTCTTGTTTGCACAGTGGATACAGCAGCTGTTGGACAAATTCAGCCAAAATCCACAACTGCTCTTATTGCCATACAAGTCCTGTTTCACTGAAGTGCACTTTAGCAACATGCAGCAAGTCTGTGTTGCCTCACTTTGCCCTCCACTTTCATATCAAAATCCCCCTAGTCAAGCATATCATAGGAAAATAGTTACTTTATTTTTCTAGCTAACATCAAAAGACTAGTCATGCTTCAACTACAGCCAGAGCAGATTTAGAATACAAAAGCTTGCGTCTGATACTTTACATGCAAATTTCTGGGAAAGTTTGTAGTCGGCAAAAAACAAAAACGTCTGCGTCCCCTTTGAAGCTCTATCCCGTTTAGTTTTCCTGCTGCCTAATTAATTTTCCTCCCTGTTCAATTTTGAGAGGGAATTTTAGGACACTTAAATGGTCGTGTTGGTGTGTGTGGGGGTGTTTGTGTGTTTCCAGAATGGCCTTTGTTTCAATGGACTAATTGAGTAGGATGGTACCAGGCAAGAGTCCAGATATGGTGGTGTAACAGTCTGTGAGCATCAGGCTAAAGCTCAGGCTGCTTAAACTGCTTGTCGTCGACTTGTTGTAATAAACGTAAAACTGATGGAAACAGTCATTTAAGAGTTTAGCCCAAAGTCTGAATGAATGAGTGTGTGGATAAAGCCTCCCTGTAGTAAAAGCCTCATGTGTGCACTTGTGTGAAATTGTTTGAAATAAGACTAAGATTAGAACGCAGATATACTGTGCACATCTTTCAGCACAGCGTGTGTGTGCATGTGCCTGTCTCTCTGTCTCGATGCTCTTGTGAAGTGCTAACACTGTGCTCATTCATGAAAAACAACCATCAGATGCTCACATGGAAACACATTCAAGTGCATGGTTACATAATTAACAACTACAACATTGACAAGGCCATGAAAGATTCATGGCCACTTGCTGACGGAGGATTGTTCCGGCTGGTTGATGTGTAACAACAAAGCCCAACAGGATCAGACCTCTTGACCACCGACGAGTGGGTCACGACAATAACCTGCTCCTTCTGCAGTGGTTGTGAAGAGTCACGTCTCACACCGTTGGGCAGGAAACGGTGATGACATACTGTATGAGAGAGGAGCTCTGTTTTTGTTCCCTGAGGAATATTTATTTGGTCCCTCGCTGCTGTTTGATGTGGTAGATTAACTTGATCTGTGTTGCGTTAGAGGCCTTTCTGATACCATTGTAGATATCAATAGGGTGGACTTAATATAATGCAACAAAACAGCAGCATTAGGGCTGCATTAGTTGAGCTAGGTGTATCTGTACCTGTATTTGGATATTGAGCAAAAATTCAACATTATAATGACATGTTAAGGTATATATATTGGCTAAAAGGTGGTATATTTGCCCTTTAATATCTCTGGGTGTATTATGCAATTGTGAGCAGTGTTGCATATCAGTTGCTTTGTGGTGTGCTAGATGTGTGCTTTATGATTTTTCTACATTCATAGCTAGATAGCAGATTTGCGAAAAACTGATATTACTGTATGTTTTCTCCACAGTTTCTCAATGGATTTTACATAAATGTTACTAAATCACAATATATATTGATACCATGATCAAATATGCTGTGGAAATGTCTGACCGATCAGTAATGTTGTATTTCAACATACACAATTTTTACAACATACAAATCGAACCAGGGATGTTGGGATCACAGTACATAAAATGCATCTCATGCAAAAAGCCTTGCACTTATGTGCACTAAATATGCATTTAACATCACAGATTGATTATTATTATTGCTCTCCAGACGTACGGTATAGGTGGTGAGAATCTACGTGGCCTGACAGAGAAGCTGCGTGCCGTTTCCCACACCCTCCAGATGGGCATCCAGAGTCGCTGGCGCCTCAACAACTACGATGGCCGCAGCACCACCAAGCTGCCAGCTGGCATTCTGCAGGTTGTAGTGGAGCTCATCACCTCTGCCAAAGGACTCTTCTCTTTGCTCAACCGGTTTGTAAAGAGGCAGTTATCTAACCGTTATATATCCAGTACTTGAAGTTCTATTTTATTCTACAGTTATTTTTTACTTGCTGCTGTGTCTTATGAAAATAGTTGTGGCTGTAGATTTTATTGCTGTAAAAAAAAGATGGCTGTCATTTAGAGGTGTAGCCTTTACATGGGAATGTTTTGGTGTATGCGCTGACTTGCTATTTACATGTTGTCCCTTGTAAAGAAAGCTGATACCCGTTCCTCCCTGCTCTCTTTTATTTTCTCTTTGTGCGACTTTGTAAGATCCTTAATTTGTCTTTGTTCCAACTAATTACCAGTGGGGAATTAAATCATTGTGCCTGCTTGCAGTAAGTACATCCAGTCTCTATCCAGACTCATTTGAAATACAACCCCTGTCTTTCCAGGTATCAGTTTTTCCAGCTCAGTGGATACACCACCAGCAAGAACATATTCAGCTACTGCAGAGAGCTGGGAGAAATTGTCCACAAGGTTGGTCCATTTATGCCTGTAAGCAGTCCATCGAATGCCTTTTTTTTAAACGCAAACTGAATAGCTTGTTTAGTACCCTTTCCAGCACATGTATTCATGAAAACATGAGGTGTTCTATCTGAAGAGGAACCACACATGACTAAAACATGTTTCTAGTGGTGTTCTCATGCACACTAAACTTCCAAAGAGGAACTACAACCTGTTGTGTGGTCAGCTATTTCTTTTTAAAATCAAACCCTAAAATGCAACGGGGAAAAACAGAAGCACAAACACACACACACACACACACACACACACACACACACACACACACACACACACACACACACACACACCTCTGTTCCCCAGCTTAGCTTGAGTAATGCATTCTTTATCTTTACATTCCTGGAATATTTGGAGGCGGCTGTACCTTGAAGAAGCTTAGGTTGAAAGGATTGCCAGAGAAGGGGGCTGGATTTTGTTTGTGTTTACTCCTTTGTGGTATTCTGAAAAGTTCGAAAGAAATGGGAGGAGGGAGGAATATTTATAACTGTATGAATGTAAAGTGGGTGAAAAGTGTTCACAGGTAGTAGAAGGGACAGGCCTGGATATGTTGTAGCGCCTAGGGGAGGGAGGAGGGGAGGGAGGGAAGCAAAGGGGAAGGCAGAGAAAGGAGGAGGAGACTGCGTGAGGGATTGCACTGACTGTTTAATGACTTCTGACTCCTGGGGGAGCTGCATGTCGCTGAATGAACAGCAGACAGAGCAACAGGCGGAGAAAGACTATTAACTCTGAAAAGTACGCCGTAGTGACATTAGAGATAAAGACCCTGACAGAAGTGAGGCAGAGGAGAGGACAAAGAGAAGATAAAGCCACAGGGGTAGCAGCATAGCAAGAGGTAGTTAGAGAGAGGTAAGGAGATAGTCAGAGGTGCAGAGAGGCTGTGGGTGAAAGAGGAGGCTCAGTATGTAGAGGAGTTTATATATAGCCCTCTATAGCCAGCTCTGGACACCTGCCCAGCACAACAGGTACAGTTCTCACCTCTTTGATTGGATAATTCTCCACAAGGTGATTTGCTGCTTTGCTTGACTGCTTAAAGCCTGAGCTTATATACAATACTAAGTCTAATTTTTTGCTTGCTGGTTATAATTTAAAGCTTTCAATAATTCTCTGTAGATTTTTTGGAATGCTCTGTTTCCTTTAAGGGATATATAATAAGGTTGGAGATGTACTAACCATGTAATGTTACACATTTAGCTATTCACAAGAGTTGAATAAAAGTTGTGGCCTCTACGTTGGTGTACAGTAACAGTGACATTATTCTTATGGACCTGAGGGGTAGGAAGGAAGTATGGATTTCAGAGACTTGTTGAGCTTGTCGAGTCTGATAGGATGTTTTTTTTTTTGCCATTGCTATGTGAATCAGATTTGGGCCCGTTGAGTGTTGTTTTCATTCATGGCACTGAGTGAGTGATTTGTAAGTTAAAACCCTTGCTGCTTTTGTCATTGGTCGCTCGCAGAGGTTGATCATCATTTGGTAATGTCTGGCCATTGTTTGCTCAATTCCTGTTTTTGAACTTTGTGCTCACTTGTGTACTAGAGCATGCAGGTGTTTTAAAGGTAGGAATTATTATCCATAAAGATGTAGTTTTATACTGAGAGCACTGTGTCCAGTGAGGTCAGTGTCATGTTAAATATTTTTTGGTTGGTCAATCATTCAAATGTTTAACAGTTTTAAAAGATCACATAGTAACTAATTCGATTCACAAAATAACACTGGAAATCAATAGGGTAATTTCATATCTATAAAAACCTGCATAGTACGTGTTTTTACAGATGCTGTCTAGTTATTAATTAGAAAAACCCTTCACAAGTGAGCTAAAAGGTCAGTTTTTGACAGCTGAGGAGCTCACACATCTGTTTAACAGACAATAGAAAATGTGAAATCTGATGAACATAGGTTCAGGCTTCATCTGTCAGTTCAGCTGTCATCATAGCATTATAAACCTGCAGCACAGGCTTTGAAGTAGAACATATTGATTTACACACACATGCTGTACAAGCGAGTCACATCAGGGGGCATTCGCTGATGAGTGTGTCTCTGTACCATAGCGATTACATCAGCAGTGTAGCATTTACCATTGCACTCATACAGACTAGCATGGTCTTGGCTTTTTACAATTAGCTCCTGGCTAATTGAGTCTGGTGTCATGCCCCCCTGGGACATTTCTGACGTCCTGTCAGGAGGCCATGGCTTCATCATGACGTCTTTTTCTTGCGAACTGTTCCCATAAAAGCTACACCACATCCTTTACACCAAAGAAAGGACTATTATTTCCTGTTTGTTTGTGTGCGTTTGAGCTATGTGTGTTTCTTCTCGCACCCTGAGGGTGATCAAGGTCAGTAGTCAGCTGGTGTTGTTGGGATCCCACGCATAAAGTTGTCAAGTCTCAGTTTTGCTCAGTCTGCTTTGAAGCAGCCAAGCAGCAAGCAAAGTCCAGGAGAGAGACAGTAATGGGAAAGAGGGCCCTGTTAGCTGTGAACTTGGATATAATAGCAAAAATGAATTTTGAAGCATTACATTAAGGTATGTGAGTTTAAATGTGATTTTAAAGAAAGAAAGAAAAAGGACATTTCTTTTGCAAAATCTAACTTTGGAAAGGGTTTTTGACCTAAGAACTATGTAATGCTTTGGAATGGAAGTGGAAACTAATAATAATAATAATAAAAAAAATAATAATAGAAACAACACAAACATGTAATTAAAAATGACTTAATAAGCAATGTTCAGCATTTCTCTTAGGACTTATTTAAAGTTCAGGATAGAGGAAACAATAAGAGGCTTGAATGCTATAACTTATTATTTATGACGCTGAAAAAGAGAGCACAAGACGAATCTAATGCAGACAGGAGTGGTAAAAGGAACAGGGGCAGTACGATTTGGATGGAGGTGAGGAACAGGTGTAAAAGAGATCTAACATAGTGATGTCTTGCAGTCTTTTTATAGCAACCTGGCTGTTATACTACATGGTGGCAAATAGAAACTGGTGAGGTCCCAGTATGTAAACACACACTCAGAGGCAGACAGAACATGACAGGGCTTGTCTGGTTTATAAGCCTTTGATATGTTGTATATGAAGTTGCTATCAACAACAGAAAGGAAATGGTTCAATTGTGTAATCAACTGTTTGTGTTTTCCTCTTTCCATTCATGTGTCACTGCATCTTTGTGTGATAGTTTCAGCCTTTTTTTGTACATGTGTGCCCATGCATGCCTGTGTTCATTCTTGTTGTCCGCTTTTTTTTAAGAATGTTACACCCACATAATAGCTTGTCTTTGTTTCCAGGACAACTATTGAGAGAACAGCTTTCAGGCACAGAACAGTGCTGTAAAGTTAGCTCACCACCTGATCGAGCCACACACAATGCTGCACAACACCAGACCTTTTCTTCTTCTCATGTGAAGTAGATGCATGTTACTTTACAGTGCAGAAGAAAGCAAAGAAATTCATCCTTTTCACCCTTTTTGACAATGCTGCAAATCCCTGTTGGGTGAAAAGCTGAAAGATTTCTGCCTCTTTTTTCTGCCTCAGAATTTCTATTAGGATGATTTGAATCTTAGTGCAGCTCATTCTGTATGGGGTTGTGTACCATTTATTAATAGTCTACAGTAATTGTGGCTAATTTGTAACTATTGTAGCTGCAATCAAGTGGAATAAAAGGTCAACCTTGAATGTCAGTCTGTGCTGTCCATACAATGAAATTATTGTTTTTTTGTGATGGCAATGTAGGAATTGATAGTTAGGAATTTAACATTTTGGTGCCACACCGACAGCCTTGTGTGAGTGCCAGCGCTGCCCCCGGACCCCTGGTTCTGTTTTAGTTGATGGAGAACTGAAAGGGCTTCATTTCCACAGTAACTGTACCGTTTGATGTGTAAATCTTGTGTCGCAAAAGACAGTTGCCATTATTATTAGAAGAGAAATCAATTGAAGTGGAGCAGGCACATGCTAGAGGCTGCTGGGGACTAAACAAGTCGAACAGTGTGACCCCTGCAAAGATGATGCCTTTGCAGGGGTCACGCTGTTAGACTTGTTTAGTTATGCTTCATATTCATGTGTGTGCGCAAATAAATTCTATTTGTGTATGTACTTTTACTGTGACACTCTTTACTTTAGTTAAATAATTCAATTAAGTCAAAGAGTAATAATGTTTGCATGTATTTGTGGTTGTAAGCATGAGGATACAATGCTTCTTTGTGTCTAGAAGTCATCCTGACTGAGGAACCAGGAGTGAGAGCTGTGGGCTTGTTCTCTGTGCTCTTTGTTTTGCCACCACACCCTCCTGATATTACAGTAGTTTCAGGGCTAAAGTGTACCTGTCCCACCTCACACACATTATTGTGTGGTTTCCCCGTTCTGGCAGAGTTAAGAAGAAATATAGAACATTTTATATATAGAAATCTGACATGGCTCCAAGGTTTTGGATGTGTATTTTTACCGTATGTTTAAAAAGCAATGTCAGATGCTGGGAAGAAAAAGGTGTTAGTATATGAATGAGTCAGAAGCCATGGTGTGTGGTAGGAGGTGGTTCTATTACCACTACTTCCATTACTAGATCACGCTTACTCTCAAGTTATATGAGAGTTTCTTTGGTTTAAACCATTGTTTCTGCATTTGTTTCACTTGTCACAGTGAATCCTGTTTGCATTTAGCTTACTTCGCAGTCTTAACCTGGCTTTACACATTCATTTTTATTTTCCTAATAGGTCAGGTTTACCATAAGATTTGCTTTGTAATTCACTACAATATGAAATGTTTAGCCATGCTAGTGACGTGGCTCTAGGGTTTGGAAAGTAATTCTTTCGGTCAGTCCACCAAGTAAGTCCAGACAATAAATATCTCAACAACTCCTGGAAGGCTTGCCATGAGATTATACATTCATGGTCCTGATAGGATGAGGTCCGTCGACTGATCCTCTGACCCATGATTCCCTTTGAATGGATTGTTATAAAATCTGGTACAACCATTCATGTTCCCCTCAAGATGAATTGTAACAACTTAGGTGTTGAGTAATTAGCACTTTTAAGACTGTTAAAATGTTAAGACAGCGTGTTGGTACCATGTTACTATATATATACTATAATATATAGTGTAGCCTCAGTGCTGCTAGCATGGCCGTCTTAGTCTTTCTTGCAATTGCCTTAAGTTTCTTGTGGCGTTGTTACGTGGCACAAACTCCTCTTAAGTCGCCCGCAATCTATTTTCAGATGCATTTACCAAGGTTTGTTTGCACTAATAATATAAGGTTGGCTGTCTCTGAGGGAGGTTGCAGCTTCAGCTTCCCTCTGTATTTTTAAGTGAAGTTGCGTGTTGAAGTTCTGTTTTAAATATCGGTCCTTAATTCAATGTTTTTCTTTCTGTTTATGCTCTCAATGAAGCTCTGAACAGCTAGCCAGCTAATTAACTTAACATTAGTCACTCTAGCATACAGCCAGCGTGCCATGACAAGGCTACTTTGCTTGAGTAGGGATCAAGATAAAGATCGGAACATCTTTGGTTGTTTATGAACAACCTTTAGTGGTTTGTTGTGGTGTAAATCAGTATATAAGCAGGTTCTGCATCTCTCAAATGTCCTGGGGGGAATTGCAGTACACACACTCACACACACACAACAAACAAACACCAAGCAGACAAGTCGAACTGACCAGCAATCATGACAGCAACCTTTCCCAGTACCTCCCAGCAGCCTTGTGTCACAGCCTTTAATTAGCACAGAAATCCAACCGTGTTCACTGTTGATCCCTTGTTACATTTCACAGGGATTAGTTTCCCTTTACAATCCTTTATGTAACCCATCACACCACCAGGCGGTCCAAATTAGCTTAGGCAGTAAAGGTATGTGGCAGGTATGTGGTCTTTTAACCTCCTTCATCATCCTCCTTCACTCAAAGCCTCCCCCTCTTCGTAATGCTTGTGGGATCATCATCAACACCTTCCTCCCCACTGGAAATTAACTGTGACATTGACCACTGACTTTCCCGTTTGTGTGTGTGTGTGTGTGTGTGTGTGTGTGTGTGTGTGTGTGTGTGTGTGTGTGTATATATATAAAGTGTATACGCATGTGTGCATGTGGTTGATTAGTGTGAACCCTTGGATGAAGCGGACATTACACACCTCTGAGGGATTTCCCACTCGTTGTAATGCCAATTTTATAGAATACAGTATATGTTATGTCTTATTTTCATTTATTCATGAGCACTGCTATGAGACACGCCAGCAAAATACCACTAAAGGTCTGGAGTGAGTGAGTCTCTTGCCTCTGGATGCCTTTAGCCTTTCACTTCCTGACTCATGCTGTGAAGAGGAAATGGCACATGAGTTCTGACTCAGACTGTCCCATTTCCACAAATCAATAACTTGGTATCATTTTGGTTTTGCACTTTGGTGCTTTGTTTGGCGCTCATGTCATGTTGTTTCACTCATCCAACAGGATACGACTGTCTATGAAAAGGAGAAGGATATCATCTCAGTGGTGAGTGTACAAAGTATTTTGATATTGATATGTTTGTTTATATAATTTTTTTATATATATTATATTGTGGTTTGTTTCACCCTCTAGTGCCGTCAGTTGGTTGCGGTGTGTGATGAGATCTTGAATTCCAGCCCTGAAGCGCTTCTTACCCACACTGCTCAGCTCGAGAGTGTCGACCTGGTGCCTGTGTCACCTGGTGATCAGCTGGTAAAGCCTTCTTGCTCTTAATATCTCTTTTTTTCATTATTAAATGTAGATGTTTTTTGTGTCTGTTTAGTGCTAACACTATATATTATACATATACAGTAACTAAATATAAGAAATGTAAATTTAATTATCTTACTCTGAAATTGTACAGAATTAAATTTCCGAGGTTTTCAAAAGCCGTCTCGGGGCCTCCAGTTGTCCTTGGGGGTCCCAACCAAAGACAGCTTTTATTTTGTTTTGTTTCAGGGCACTAGAAATTAATTAGTCAACAACTACTCAACAGTGTAGTAGTTGGCACCTATTTTAATAATTAAATTGTTTAAGCAGCTTTTCAACTGGGAGGATTTGCTGATTTTCTTTGTCTTATCGGTGATGTGAATATTTCTGACTTTTAGACTGTTAGTCAAACATTACATCATGTTAGACTTTAGGAAATTGTGATGGGCATTTTTTTATTTAAATATTTTCTGACATTTTGCAGACAAAATAGATTTCTTGAGAAAAAAATCATGATATTAATCAATAATGAAAACCGTCATGAATCGTTGGTTCACTATGATTATCTCCATATACTTTGTACAATTCTGATAGTCAAGGCAAGGAATTATTTTGAAAAAAAAAAGAAAAGAGAGAGCCACTGGCTGCTGACACAAACTCCACGAATGAGAGTGATATAAAAATCAACAGTCAGTCCTGTTTGATTACGTTTCTTCTTTTTGAAGAAAAGTCATCTGTTCGTCTGTTCTGCATCTCAACATCTCATTATTGCCAACCATCAACTCTTATTCCGTCTCTTTTTCCCTCTCACTCTCTTTCTGTCATTTTCAGTATTCATATTCTGCCTTCATCCTTGCCTGGAGTTTTCCATCATCATTTGGTTCCACTCATCTCTTCTTTCATCTAACTCAAGGTTCTCCCTGTACTATTCTTTTTATTCTCTCCTTAAACCTTCTTTTGCGTCAAGTTGTTCATAAACCTTCTGTTCCTGCCTCCTCTCTTAATGCCTTAGCCTTCAGTCACTACATTGCGTACAACAATTAGCCCTCTTCCTTGCCTATTATCAGTGGTTCTTAAACTTTTACACCGCATACCACATCAGAAGACATTAGGCTCTCCAAGTACCACCATAATGACCGAAGTCAAAATATAGGAGCACAGGCTGACCCTCTTCAGTTACAGACAGTTTGCAGGTTTATTTCAAATAGGAATATTTAGTATTGGCTGTCCCAGTAGCTCCTTGTTTGGAGTCACGATGGCAGAGTTTTTGAACCATTCATTTTACCTCAGCTTCCTATCTTGCTATCACATTTTAGCTCACAACTAACCATGGATCTATCCTCACGTTATGTGCATGCACGTGACTATGTAGCAGGATGATATTAAAACACAATATTACAGAAAATGCAGTTTTTAAAGTTACATTTGAGTTTTTATAGATTTCAGAGATCCCTCCTGTACCACTAGAGGCAGATACCATAGTGTGAGAACCAGGGGTCTGTTTTAGTTTATTTCTACAGAGCAATTTTGTGTAATACATTTGTCCAATTTCCTCTCCTTTGTGTACTCAGCTTATTAGGTAAAAATGTTATATGAAAATAGCAGTCCTATTTCCTTTGTGCTCGCTCACTCGCTCTATTGGTTTTCCTAATCATTTCCAATGTGTTGTCTTAAAAGCAAATATGTGCACTTCCTAGCTCCACCTCATTGCCTGTGATTCTGTAAACAAGCATACATGTTGTTTATGTTTGTGTTCATATTTGTGTGTGTCTCCGGGTGGCTGCAGGTGTGTGAAAGGAGCGGGTTTTAGCTGAAGTGTTGGGAGTAATTCTTCACAATGTTTCAACTGTGGAACAGGATAATATTTACAAATGTCCTCAACAACTAGGAGCAAAACAAGAAATTGATTGGAGCGCATCACCGATAACGAGGTCTGCCCTCTAAAGGATTGAAAGTAATGAGAACTAACGACAGAAAGAAAGGGAAGTGAGAGGCAGGAAGAATTATAATTCACAGAATGCACAAAACATGACGTACACTGGCTCAATTCTTAAAATAAATGTAGTAAAAAATAAAAGCTAGCTTTTTCCTCTTTCACTTTCTTCAAATTTAAATGTATTCCAGTCACAAAGGAGAAGTATAAAATCATTTTTAAGCTTTGAGCTTTGAACGTAATGATTTGTACCTGCAGTGTTGGGACATGACTAACACAATAGTGACTCAGCTTACATCCTTATGCATTGCTAGTAAATGTGTTGGTTTAAAGCTCATCAAGTGTTTTCATCAAGCATAAAAGCCTTTTGTTTGGATATAAGAGAAAAACTAGAATTACCACCCTGCAGTTCTTTGCCTCCGCCATCCAGTCACGTCCATGTCTGTCCAGACTGAGTGGTGAATACTTGAAAATGAATAAAAAACGTATAAGGTGTATTTTTTGGCTAAATGGAACTATATTGATGATGTATATGTATGATTCCAGTGAATATACATTACACATGTACTTGACTAAAAAGCCTAAAGATCTTATATCTTTTATATATTCTTATATCAACTAAGCATAGCTGTACAAAATGTGGAAGCTTCTCTATGAACTGTAGGATCCCTTACGCTGCAATACGATGCACGATTCATTCTTAAATTATGACTAAAATTGAGGCCAATTCACTGTCCAACCAACTGAGAAATGTGGTCTAATCATTCATTAATCTGTTCAAAAATGTATATATTCACTGAAATCATACATATGTACCATCAACTTACAATACCTTTGGCCATAAAATATACCTTTTATATATACCTCTAATATATGAGTCTGGACAGATATAGATGTAAACTGCAACCTGAATGGTATAAAACTGCAGGGTGGTCATTCTGAATGTGTTTCACTATATCATCATTCATTATTTGTCTAACACCAGCCTCCACTTATGGCTCATATATATAATGTATACTGAATATATATATATAGTATGTTTTATTTATGACTGATGGGAGGGAATGATTTCTTAGCCTCTGTTTCCTTTGAGTTCATAGTTTAAATCCATTCATGTTTCTCTTGTCATGTGATATATATTGATTATGTGATCCAGGCTTTCTGGGGTGTGATAAGTTGGCTCTCCTCATTCCCATTATGACCTAAAATAATCAATCAAGGGAGCCTGATGGGTAATTACAGGCTGGACCATCAGTACATCTGGAGACAGACATCAATATATCCACAGAACAGTGATGACAGTAACAAGATAAAGCAATGTTTATGAGTCCATTATGGTGAATCATTTCGACACTGACATTGTGTATTGCAAAATATGTATATAACATTCTTCTGTTTCTCTCTCTCTCTCTCTCTCTCTCTCTCTCTCTCTCTTAGGGGATTGAGATAACGTCCACTAGCTCCAGTAACCACTACGTGACCGGAACCGCTGCTGAGGTCAGACTCTCTCCTTTACTTTCTTGCTTTCACTGTTGACTCAGCCCATAGGCCACGCAGAGTTAACAATCACTGATTTCTCAGTGCTCTTAACCAATCCTCTGTAAAAGCACCATGACTCAAGCTTCTCCTCCTCTTGAACTCCAGACCAAAAGGTTAACTTCAATTACAGTTTGTCTTTTTGCAAGCGGCCCATGAAGAGAGGGGGGTGTTGCATCCAAAATGCCTAACAATGTTTCATTTCTTAACCGGCTTCGTCTTGTTAAAAAGTGTAACAGGTAACAAGCTTAGACTGTTTGGCTCAGGCCTGTCAGGTATTTCTGCTGGAGATAACACTTTTACACTCGTTTATACTTCTCCAGTTGGAAGGTTTTGATCGGCTAAACTCAGATATTGCACTTGTTCTGTCTGGGTGCCTCATCTAGAAGGAACTGGAGGTAGAAAAAGGAAGAAAAGGAAGAAAAATAAAGAAGAAGAATGATCAGTTTTCCCTTTTCTGGCTCTTTACAACAACTCTCTGCTTTATTTGTGGCAAATAAAATAATTTAGCGATTGGTTTTGGTGGCAGGAGAATCAATATACAATGATGTCCTTTTCTACTTTGAACTATGCTCTGCACAGTTGCACAACATTTTAATTTGGATACATTTATTGTGGAAGCATGACAGGCAGAAATCCCCTTGAAAGTGTATTTGTGTGACACTTTATTTTTAGCTGTTGACTTATCTTTCTTTGCTTCACTGCTTTGAAATTGAAACCAATCTGAGCCCTTGTGCTGCAAATACTTTACATATTTATAAATGTCTATTTGAGTCAGCTGACTGCATGTAAACAAAGAAGCATGCAGTCAGTACATAACACGTCATGGCTTATTTTATATGTATTTATAATTAAGATATTTTTCATTTCACTCTAAGAAAGGTTTCAGCAGACTAGTTAGGTCTGAATAATTTGATAGTCACACCTATAGTAGCTGATTATTAAACTGTATATGACCATAGGATTCCCTGGGAAAATGAAATCATCCCACGGAAAGAGATGATGCAAGGCTCTCTGAGAAAGCCAAAGATCAGTTGGACCAGGGGGCTCATAAAATACACTTGGGAGTGATGAGGGAATGGAGGAGTGTTCAGCCTGAATAAGGCTTGTAAAATGAGTGCTAGAGTAGCTTGCTCGTGGGACATCAAGATGGAGATGTTATTTTTTTCCATGATGTCAACAACAAAGCATCCTCGACTCCCCTGCTACTGCAGTTACATCACTGTGACGTGACCACTGCGTACATTCTATTCTATTTTCCAGGAAATTTACTTAGTTACAGACAGTGTTAACATTAAATTACCTACATTTGAAAATTGCGATTAACTGACAGATAATAGAAATACATGTGACAGTAAATTACAGCAAATTTCCATTGTCTGTAGTCATACATTTGTTTAATTAAACATTAAATTTATATACACCGATCAGCCATAACATTATGACCACTGACTGGTGAAGTGAATAACACTGATTATCTTAATATCATGTTGTACTGTAGCTTAA